AGGCTGCATATGCTAATGGTTTACCTTAGTTTATCTCTGGTTGAGTGCAGATGCTAATGCTGTACCTTAGTGTAACGCTGGTTAGGTGCATATGCTAATGGTTTACCTTGGTTTATCTATGGTTGAGTGCATATGCTAATGCTTTACCTTAGTTTATCTCTGGTTAGGTGTATATGCTAATGCTTTACCTTAGTTTATCTCTGGTTAGGTGCAAATGCTAATGCTTTACCTACGTTTATCTCTGGTTAGGTGCATATGCTAATTATTTACCTAAGTTTATCTCTGGTTAGGTGCATATGCTAATGCTTTACCTTAGTTTGTCTGGGGTTGGGTGCATATGCTAATGCTTTACCTTAGTTTATCTCTGGTTGAGTGCATATGCTAATGCTGTACCTTAGTGTATCTCTGGTTAAGTTCAAATGCTAATTATTTACCTAAGTTTATCTCTGGTTAGGTGCATATGCTAATGCTTTACCTTAGTTTATCTCTGGTTAGGTGCATATGCTAATGCTATACCTTAGTATATCTCTGGTTGGGTGCATATGCTAATGCTTTACTTTAGTTTATCTCTGGTTAGTTGTATATGCTAATGCTTTACCTTAGTTTATCTCCGGTTGGGTGCATATGCTAATGCTTTACCTTGTATCTCTGTATCCCTTGTAGAAGCCAAACCCAGCAGTGACTGCAAGAAAGCAGGAGCCACCCCCGAGCAACTCGCTCAGAGCACCCGCGGCGTTTCCATGGCAACCGCCAACCTGGTGAATGCCGCGCACTCGGGAGATCAGAATGAGCTCATGACGTCAGCCAATGCTACGCGTAAGACTGTGGTGGAGATGCTACACACTGGAAGAGGGGCTGTCGAGGCTGCGGGAGAGGCCGATGACAAGGACAAACAGGTACTGTCTCTAGATTATCAGGAAGGACGAATTCCATATATATGTGTGTGTGCGTGTGTGTGTGTATATGTATATGTATATATGTATGTAAGTGTGTGTGTGTGTGTGTGTGTGTGTGTGTATGCGTATGTGTATGCGTATGTGTATCTGCAAGTACATTAGTTAGCAGATGTCATATATATATATATATATATATATATATACCTTCAATACCTATAAATATATATATATATATATATATACTCTCATACAGTATGCGCTGGAGTCCGTACAACGCGCCACCGAAGCGTCGCTAGAGCTTCTGGACTCAGTCAACGAATGTCTCAAGCACCCCACTAAGGAGAACAAAGACAGACTTCCAAAGTTATCTAGAGACGTGGCAGATGGAGTCAGTGATGTGTGTGAGGCCGCCCATGCGCTTAAGGGTGCGGAGATGGTCGACCCAGACGATCCCCATGTCATTGCTGAGCAGGAACTGTTGGTGGCTGCCGCCCAGGTATGGTTGTTGTGGGGTGTTTGATTGCTATGTGTTCTGTGTATAGAAAGACGTATATGAGCGTGTGTTTGTATATGTGTCAGGTCTGCGGATGTGCTGCTTGCATATGCGTACATACTTTCATATATAGATACATTTACGTGCATACACACACATATATATATATATATATATATATGCAAGTACGTATGTACGCGTGTCGTCGTATGTGTGGGCGTGGGGTAGTAGAATGTAGCCCGTAGTGTATGTCGTGTATGCGGGCGTGTACACTTGTCTAAGCATGCGAAGGTGGTTGGTTCTGATGCTCCGTATGCCATTGCTGAGTATGACCTTGTGGCGGCTGCCACACAGATACGGTTGCGTCTGTGCACACTACGTTCTTTTATAACTGTTAGAAACTTCAATACTATACCGAACTTTGATAGTCAATGTGGCTTGAGTGTCTTTGGAAGGGAAATGCGTAGGGGTTTGATACGGTGTTTGTATTCAGAGCCCCAAGGTGCGAGGGACTTCTCAATGTATGTGCACCCGTTTATGTTGTATTTAGGACAGCGCGTGCCTGTACATATCACTGGCATATGTACACACCGAGACAACTACCAAATAACAAACAGTTCGGAACTTTCACTGCTCAACCTCCAAACCCTAGACCCTAAACCCAGACCCCTCTAACTCGACCACAGATCGAAGCCGCTGCCAAGAAGTTAGCAGAACTGCGACCCAGGCGAAAGGATTACGAAATCAACGCCAACATTTCGTTTGAGGAGATGATCGTCTCTGCCGCACAGGGCATTGCGAGTGCCACGAGTGCGCTGATGGTGGCTGCTCAAGGGGCCCAGAGAGAGCTGTACGATCAAGGCCGTGTAAGCAAGGTGAGTAGGGACACGCGGGGATGTATACAGACATGAACGTAGACAGGATGTGTAACTGTTCATAACGTCTACAGAAGATGTATTACTGTTCATAACGTAGACAGGGAATGTATAGCTGTTCATAACGTTTACATACGGGGACATGCAGAAGATCAGAGAGCAAGTATCAGTAGTTTTAGAAAGTCTTCTTTTTTTTTTTTAAATGATAGTCACGCTTGCGGGCATAGTAGTGAGGCTAGATGTGCGTGTGTGTGTGTGTGTATGTACGACGAACTCTAATGAAAGTGCACCCGAATGAGCTTTATGACAGTGTAACAGTCCTGCTGCCGACTCAGAAATAGAAACAGGAAGCTGTACCGCCACAGTATTGCATAGTCCGACAGACTGATACAATTATCTAACTCTCTATGTCACACACCAGCAGTGTATGTCACACATCGCAGATATATAAGTACGACTACCTACACACTCTACACAGTTCCACCTGCCATACGCCAATAAGAGTGTTACTCATCAATTCCATCCATGCCCCTCTCTCTCTACCTACCCAGAACAAAAACACAGAGAAGTACCACGACGACATCACATGGTCTGAGGGGCTGGTTAGTGCGGCCAAGAACGTCGCAGGAGCCACCGAACTCTTGTGCGAAAGCGCAAACTCGGTAGTGACGGGCCAAGCCTCGGAGGAACGTCTCATATCATCGTCAATGGCTGTCAGTAGGTCCACACAGCAGCTGCTCATTGCGTGCCGAGTCAAAGCAGACAAACACAGTAAGGCTATGGACCGGCTGGACACCGCCGGAACGGCCGTGCGCAAGGCTACCAATGCTCTGGTGGCTAGTGCTAAGGATGCTGCTGTCTTCCAGGTGTGTTTTATATATATACATAGTATATATATATGTGTGTGTGTGGGTGGGTGTGTGGTTAGGAGGTGCTCTTGGACTGGGGGAAAGGTATCTGCAGGCCAAGTATATGGAGTTCGCGATCTATCTGTGTTGTGGTCAATTGATGTGTGGTTTTTGACCCGGTTGTTTCCGTTTTTGCAACGGAATGGCATTACAACAAAAAAATACCGTACGAATTAGCGAAATTTTACATCACGTATTACAATGATGATGTGGGCAATAATACGATACTGATAATGTACTGGGTCTACCAGAACGAGCGAACACAAACGCAAGGACAGTCTACTGACAATATGATACAGCTCACAGCTCGACACACGTGTGCCCAATGATGATATACTAACATTACAATACAACGCGCGGTACGATACGATAACAGGAGGAGAAGAATGAAGTGGAGGTGAACAGGTTCAAGGTGGGATCCATTGCTCAAGAGATCGCGATGCAAGAGGCCGTGCTGAAGAAGGAGAAAGAGTTGGAGAACGCACGTAAGCAACTCACAACCCTGCGCAAGCAGAAATACGATAAGAAATAGGTGTATAGTCACACTCACACATACACAAACGTTTGTATATAAGCACCCACTCGCTGCACCCAATAGTAGTTACTCAAGGTGCGCACGCGAGAGCGGGTAGAATGATTCATAGATGTCAACATGGATGAGCAAAGAGAGGGACTCGATTCCGTGTTTTTATACCCTTGTTTGGTTGTACGCGTGTGTCGAGGTTATCAGTTCACAGTTTTTGTCGTATGGGGATGCGATAGGCTCAGTGGAAGGACCGGCTAGGCCTGCGTAAGCAGCAACGTACGACAGCTTAGAACAGTTGCAGGGCCATTTCATGAGTGCAGGGGTGTGCATGTACACGCATATCCGTCAGGAATGAGTGCACGCACGGTTTATTACCAACCTATTCTTTCAACCATCAGAGAAGCCGCCATTTGAACGGAGAAGTGTTGTACGCCTGTCTGATAGATACTAAACGGGACACCAGACTGACAATATATGAGCTGTATGGGGATGCGGCGATTATGAATAGTTTGAGTAGTCTAACTTAAAGAAATAAATCTGAGGTACAATCATTGGTATCAGAGTGTAAGTGCCTGAACCTCTGTATTTTGAATGTTCTGTTCGGATTCAAGATGAGTAATCGGTAATTAATGACATACAATGTTAACGATAGTTCCAATTTTTCCGTTGTGCTGTAGTACAAGATGTGGTATGTACGGCACTACAGTTGTGTTGCCAATTTCAGTGTTGATTTTTGATATCTTAATGCGAATGTACCGTTAGCCAGTCCTGAATAAATAGTCTATGGTTGCTTCACTCAATCATTCGTATCAAACCATTTCGGTACATGAGCCTCTGTAATTTGAATATTCGGTACGGTATGCTGTAGTACAGGATGTGGTATGTACGGCACTACAGTTGTGTTGCCAATTTCAGCGTCGATTTTTGATATCTTGATGCGAATGCACTGTTAGCCAGTCCTGAATAAATAGTCTAAGGTTTCTTCACTCAATCATTCGTATCAAACCATTTCGGTACATGAGCCTCTGCAGATTGAATATTCGATTCGGATTCAAGACGAAAAACTAAAACATTCAATGTGTTTTAGACATCCTATATTGAAGGATGTGTTTTCAAGATCAATGTTGTTTTCTTGTTAACATATAAATGTGCCGGAATTTAACTTTAAGTTCGTTTTTCTCGAGGTGTGCAACTGTTCCAAACAGAGATGGAAGCTTGAATATCCTGTACGAACCCTTTGACAAAGTCACTGCAGTACAAACGGCTATGGAAAACAGGTTTTCCTTCAATTCTGAGACTATCAAACAAATCGTCGGCATTACTGTAAGAAACGGGATTAAGAAACCCCATCCGACATCGTGTATCATTTGACTTGGAGCAGTTATAGTTTTAGACACCCCTAAGTCGAAACGGAGAACAGACACAGTAGCTTACAGGCCTGGGAGATTTCCCTGTGTGAACTTTATTTTTTAATCGGTCTTTAATCGTTCATAGCTTTATTTCCGTAATGTTTGGTGGTCGTTATGTTGTCAATGTTTTGTTCCCCTGCAGGGTGCATACGAGTTACTGGATTGCGTATAATTTGTATACCGGGGGGTGAAATATGATATCCAGGTCTGATGATATACACCAATGAAAAATAAGCTAGGTCGGAACCAATGAACTGTAAGCTTGAGAGGCTTTAATTCTCGGTACACCGTTCTGGCGACAGATACACTATCAAAAGCTTGTAAAGGACTTGTACGATCCATGTATGTTTGTGTTTTTGTTTAGGTTATTGCTGTAGGCAGTTGAAATACACGTACGATCCTCATATAAAATGTCGCCCACCTTTTCAACAACTGAATCGATCTAGCCACTATCATCATCAGCCATACGCACTTTCTTATTGGGATACGCGTTGACTGTTTCAGTGGCTTGATGCCGCCGGTTTCACTCATCTTCTGAGTGTAGTGTGTTCGCTTGTGCAAGTGTGATGTAAGTTTTGTGGTTGTTCTGTATTTATACATATATTTATATGTATATATACAATTTGTATACCAGTTTATAGGAAACTGATGCTTTATTGTGTATTTAGTAAAGTGATCACATATTTTATATGTCAGTGGATAGATGAAAGTTTACATGTTCGGTACAAATCACAAAATATATTGAGTAGTCTGTACCAGGTTATTGATTAAGTCTTGCTAAATACCAGAGACTATTTTTGGCTTGGCTGTTTAGCATATAAATTGTACCTACCTAGGTCTCTAGATGAGGTTAGTGAAATCATTGCGACGCAATTGAACTCCGCACTCGGTCGTTGAGATATAGCATATATATAGTTACGTGCGAAAGCAAGAAAATGATTGAAATGAATCTACCTCATGTTGAAAAGGAATATATTGACCTGCGTTGCGACATACATGAGATGGACTGAGCAAACCAATAGGTAGGATGGTTGGGAAGTTTAAGGTGAACAGAATACTGGGCAAGAAAGCGGTTCTCCTCTTCACCCGAGAGGCCGCTGAGGGAAAATTAGAAGGCAAATCTCGTGGATCACGAAATGAACAAAGGCTTTTCCCTTTTATCTAGACTATCAAAAAATCAAAAACAAACAGATATTTCCCGGTGAATTTGTTCTGAAGAAACTGGAATCATAAAAATCGAACCAGGTGTCCAGATCTAGGAAGATATTCTCCTTTAATGCAGGGGTTTTTTAGTTATCGAAAGTATTTAATACAAGTATAACGAAATAAGAATAGATAGTTGATGATCTATGTGCTATTGTAGTTGGCTTTGATCCTTATTGAAGAATTGGCAAATGGCAACTGCAATACGAAAAACAATTATTAGTTCGCATATTCGGAGTTCTCAAAAAAATGAACTATGGAGCGCGGACCTTTCAAGCTGTTATAATTAAAACTTTAAACACTACGATCTTTAGATTTGAGCAACCTCCGTTTTCACAAGACATGATTTGAATCGATTCGACAACGGAAACGCATATACCACATTGATTATTGTACATACAGTATTAAACATTGTTGTATGCAGTCAGCAACCTTGAAAAGTATTTAAAGACAGTTAATGATTGCGATTAAATATAATGTGAGTATAGGTATCATCTATGTGTAAATAAAGAAAGAACTTCTCTAATCTCCGTTTCATTCATGTTTTCCTATATGTACACTGTCCAACTCGATCCCTTGACACAATTATAAAAGTTTGCCATGAGTTGACTCAAACATTTAAAAAAGTATACAGTCGAATCCTACCCATCCTATATTTTTGAGATTTGCCTCATTTCTCTCCAATTTTTTGTATAATCCGATATAATAGATGCACATATGTGAAACAGTATAAATCTGCTGTAAATGTACGAGAGATCCTATGTATACAAAGCGGCATGAATAATCCTCTTACAGCACCCAAGCATCCAAAAGAATAAAACATAGCAAAGTTCTATATCATCACCTAAGCTGCTACAGGCCGGTATTGAACAGGAAAGCAGCTAACAACGCCCGCCAGCGTCAGTTCTGAGCAATTCTCCATTGCACCGAGTTGGGGGAACGTCAACCAACATAGGTCAGCAACAAAACAACATTCCTGTGACTTCTCAAAAATATCTTCGAGGCCCACCTCATAATTGGGGCTCATCCAACATATGCACCAGCTTTATCACCGGCCCGTACATCAAAATTTGTAGCACAATACGGGTAAAACTTTTTTGCAACAAACGAAACGTCACTCGACCCTCAAAATGGAGATTTCAAAAAAAAAATTGCCGGCTCGCATAACTTATAATATTTTCAGTACTTGACTACAAACCCGGTGAGGTCGTGAGTGCGAATCTTTTTGTGATAGAGCCAGTCAGCTGGACACTAGACTAGCTCGATTGCCGAGCGCGGAAGGTTCAGAGAAATCCGCCCACAAGTGGATCGGGCGGACTGAGATAAAGGTACACACGACACTTTCCAGTTTGTAATAAATTAGGTGAATGACTGTATCAACCAACCTAGTACTAGGTTGGTGTTCAGTCCTTAATTGCTACATTGCTTGTTTCCCTGTTGGAAGACTCACGATATGATACTACGTGGTGGCGGCTCCACTACGCACAGACAAATTCAGAACCTGTCGCACCTCTGAAATACGAGTATTAACGACAAAATCGCAGACCGCACGCTTTAGTATACAAAACCCCGAATTGTACTCGATGCACCGCTAGTCTTTTCGGCTCCACGCTGTCCGTCATCAATATTTGGGCAGCATTTAAACCAATTAGATTCCATGCAGCCGATATCCACTCTTGGGATTTCAGTTTGAGGGAAAAATTTACTTTGAGCGCTCCCTCCCGTTTGGAATGAAAAGCAGCTCACATATCTTCAAATGACTGAACGTGGCCGTCGACTGTATCCTCTCCAAAGTCGAGCTCTGACTCTGGCGATATGTAGATGATTTGCTCGCATTACATTTTCCTGGTCAGTTTGGGGGAGTCGAAGTTGCCCGTATTATTTCTTTATTTTCAACAATGGGGTTTCCTGTCTTTTTGCAAAAGCTTTTGGCACTGTTGTTGGAACCGAATATTTAAATGCGATTATTAGTGTTCAATAAGTTATAGTGAGACGGAAATTTTTGGAACGCCTTGCGCTGTGGTCAATACAAAAGACTGCAACCGCCCACGATGTTACATCCCTTTGGGGCTGACTTATGTGGCTATGTAGCATTTTTACTCCAGGCACGCCAAAATACCACTCGTATATTTTGGTTACGGTGCAAAGACTCCGCCCTACAAAGGCACCTCCGCATTACCCCTGAGGCTCGGAAACATCTGCAATTATCCTGAGGTTCGAAAACATCTGCAATTGTGGTGCGCAAATATCCAGAATTAAACAGGCATGCACTACTCGCACGCCCTCGCATGTTATATATTACCGTAGCCGCAGATGCATGGACCAATAGTTCTTTCTCGCCTAAAAATATCATCATAAATATCACAAATCTAAGCAACTTGCGCAACTCTTTCGATTTCTGCTTTAAGACTGCTCACCGTGGTATATCCTGCCGCCAGGTGTGGCCATCAATGGCGAGGTCACACTTGAGAGACTACAGGAGTAGACGTGTTTCCATATACGTTAATAACGTTTTACGCCGTCAGCCCCAGAATAATTTGGGACTTGTTCTTTAAAAATTGATATATGTATTGGTAGGTCAGCCCGAAAGCACGTGTAGAGTAATTTGAGACTTCTCACATTATTCTACTTATAGGCGGGTCACCGGCTAGTCGAGAGCCGAAGCCCGAGACTGAGAGTACGTAACAGAGAGAGAGAGTGATATATTTATTTCTAGAATTATATCAGAGTACTAAAGTGTTCTGCATA